TTCCGGAAGGGAACATGGAGTTCTCTGTCTGGGTCAGTAACAACCAGAAGCCATAACCTCCTGGTATCTCTTCTTTGCCCTGAGTGAAATGAACTGGCAATGTCCCACTGTTTCTTAGCAGACAGGAGGGGTTTAGAGTCTTACCTGTTAGGTGACTTTTCACAAACTTTCAATTAAATGAACAGGGAGACCAAACTACCTCATCCTTCCCGGATCTGACAAAGTCAGGTTCTGAGTCACAATGATAGGAGTGGTGCAAAGGAGCCTTCCTCCCTCTCTCTGCAATGACTCATTAGGGGCTTTCATTTTCCACTCCAGTCAGTAAGCCAACACCTTCTATGGCAATTAAACTTTTCCTAACAAGAAGACTTTGAGAAACTAATTAAGCTCTGAACTGCACATAAGCTCTGAACTGCACATAAGCTCTGAACTTACATGATGGGAACACTGACATAGATGCCTGTCAATCTATAGCTGAAATCAGCTTCTGTTTATTTCTTGGTATTGGTGATAAATCCCAGAAGGAAAAAAAGTCCAGAAATTTTCCTCAAAATGTTTTAATGCTAGTTTGTCCTGCTTAACTGCATTTTGTTCTTGACAGGCTCAATCTCATTGCAGCTGGCTTTTTTTGTTTTGAAGTAACATTTGGGTTACTGTGTTGCATTTCTGTAAACCTTCTAATTGCTGAAAATACATGTTGGTTGGACTAGGATGAACTGATCCACTTAAAACTGATTTTTACCATAGTTACATTTTACCATAAATAGAACTTTCATCATCGGCAATAAAAAGTTGAAAATCGTGGTTTGTGACTGATCCCTTCCATGGCTTGGAACAAGTCACTTTACCTTTCAGTATCTTTGTTTCTTAAGATTCAAAGAGGGAGGAATGATGCCTGTCTTTCCAAGTAGTTTTACTGATTTGTGTACAAACAAGAAAAAAAAAACCAACCAGAAAAAAAACCCAAAGCCGTAATACGAGAGGTCTTTGTTGTTAACTAGTAGTACTTCAAAAATTTCTGCTAAGAATCATTTTAGGCAACAGTTCCAAGGCAATAAGTTGAAATATATGTGTGGGCCTATATGTTCTTAAAATCAATAAAGAATCACTTTCATAATTAAAGAATGAAGGAATAGCCTTTGAGTTTTAATTTGAATAAAAATGTTGCCTAAGCTGGGGACATGGGGCTGTCTTCACAGTCTCTTCAGAAATCTCTTTTAGGTATTATTATGCCCTCCAATACTAAGCATTCCTCAGATATTTAACACATGGGGAAAATATGATATCTCAGGATCTATGACATCCCTTCAACAATAGGTGCATGAAAACTCATGTTTTAATTTGTGTCTTCCATAAAGCAGAACCCTTTGGAGCAATCACCACCAAGACCGAACTCTGATATCTCTGACATACTTACAAGCAACATATTTGGGGGATTAAAAAACCTTCTTTTTGAGATCTGGCCTGTCTTGAAGTGAAATCTAATACACTGAAAGAATGTCTTGGATGCTTTCAGATGCTAACAAATGTCCAGAATTAAGAATAGATCTGACTGAGCTTTACGGGTTGTTTTACCCTTCTTGTCCACTCCAGAACTTCAAAACTACCATATTGGGCTCTTAGTGCATTGGGAGAAACTTGCTTGTCCTTCTTTAATGCAATAAAATTTTATATTTTTAGCATTACCCTAGTGAAATTTCAAAATGAAGTGAGATGGAATTCAAATAACACCTGAATTTCTTTTATATCCTGAGTCATTAATAGAAGCATGTCTAAACTCAAATACAAGTCATGTTTTAAAGCAAAATTCAAATCCTCTTCTGTTCCCTGCCAAATGCTGTGTTCAGTCCCTGAGGGTCTGAGCAGGGTTTTCTTGGCTACAGCAGCTGGCATTGGCAGGGCAGTGAGTGCCATTCCTGGGCTTGGTGTGCTGGGTGATTTCATCAGCTAACACAGGTCTTGACAGGTGCAAAGACTTTCACTTCGCTTTAAGGACCGTAAAACCTTTGGTGCGTGATTTGGGAGACTGGGAACTAACTTTTTGGTCTAGGAAGGGAAAATGAGATCTTTTCCTGATTGTAATCCTCTAGATCTGTTACTAGTCCTTCAGTGCATTTCTTCTAAACTCAGAAATAACTTTTGTTCTGAAAAGAGTTCTTGATGACTGCTGAATTTGCCATACATTTCACTTTGACGCAAAGATATGACAAATGTGCTTCCTAGGATTTTCATGTTGAAGTATTCTTCCTCATAAAGGACAATTGAATCAGATCCATGTTCACACTTTACATATGCGACATTTTTTTGGCTGACAAAGCTGGCTTTTCAGGCAAACTAACTTGGAAATAAAGTCAAACCAGAGAAGGGCATGCTGAGTCTGCTATACTTCAATGGCTATTTTTTTCCAACTAATCATCATTACTATTATTAATAGATATTTACCCTTAGGTGCATTGGGCAGATCATTCTGACTCATCCATGTAATGGATGCTGTCCTCTTGGGTTAATGATTACCTTTTTTATCTGAAAGATTTGTTAATTCCTGTAACTACATTGGATAGCTATTTTAGTACTGACCAGGTGACCTCAATGCTGACATAACCTTTCTAGCACTGTTGGTTGTAGCTTGTGTCATGACATTAGTGTGAATTATGGCTGTCTTGAGGATATAAACCTTCATATAGCACAGATGGTCTGTAGGAAAAAGAAATTGTAGTGACGGTCTGCACATCACAAATTCAGTCTTTGCTTGCAGACTATTTCCTTCATCATTGCCTCAATCTCTTAGGTACCTTTTAATCAAGCATCTAAGACATCATTTTTTGTACAGAGTATGCTTTCTAATAAAGAGTGTAACATGCAATTCTGGAAAATACGTCTTCTACCAGCATTATCACAGTGGCTTGTTGGCCTCCTCCAAACTTCTTTAGCAATGTATCCCCATTACTTCCAGACAGCTCATTTTTTTCGTACTACTTTGAAAGAATGATGAAAGCTGTGTAAGCTCATTAGCAGAGCATGTGTGTAGGCTTAAAATTACAGATAATAGACATATGGTTGGAAAGTCAGTAATTCCTTTACATATTTGCCAAGACTTAGGTCAAGGTTCAGGGTTTCCTTTGCTCAAACTGGTGAAATCAGAAATACCTCCAGGTGTTCTGGGGAGTGCTGGCAGCGTGCAAGCAAGACAGGTGATGAGGCACAGTTATCTCAGTTGTTTTTTGCAAGAGAAAACCATGTTTACTCTAAATTGCACTCAATTGTGATGTGCTTTTCTTTTTGCATTAGTATTTTGTATAAGCCAATCCTTTTTTTAATAGCTCTTGGTGTTTTCTATACACTCTCATAATCTCTTATTTCTAACATTACAGTAAATTCATTGTAATAAATTTTGATGTCACAACCCTGACTTCTTATGTCAGTGAAATTAACAGTTAATGTATCCAAAAATATTTGTGTGCTTAAAAGTAATCATCATTTAAAAAAATTACTACCTTTCCACTCAGAAGCGCAGCCCTTGCATGTCACATCTGTATTTGTGTAACCATTTCACAGAAAGCAAAGTGACGTAAATATGTGTAAGCGGTTTGAAAAACTAGTATACACATAATTAACTTGGAGTGCAATCAGATACATTACAGGAAAATTCAGCAAAAGGATGATTTTTACCCATGTTCACCAGCTCTTTTTTCACGAGCATGGTTCTTCAGTTTTTACTGGTAACAAAGTCACAAGCTTTAAATCCAGAGCCTTGGCCTTAGATCTAGGAGAGGATATGAGGATGCATGCAGTTGTTCATCTATGTCTCATCGACCAGGGAATCTGGAGGCAGCAGTGGGAGCAAAATCTACCCTCACCCTTTTGTGCCATGTTTCTAATGTGAAAGGCAGCAATACCTGAGGAGTTGGTTGCATTGTCTTGACAAGCCTGACTTTTGCTGGCTGGCTGAGAGTGTCAATGAGCAAGCAGTGTTGTTTGAGATGTTAAATATTTTTTATGGGCATATTGTCCCTGCTGCCTACAGTGAGGCCACTGGCTGCTTGCGTGTGGACTACCTTACAGCAGTGTGACAGCTGCCCCACCTGGCCACTACACCACACGCTGCGTACCACCATCTGAGTGGTACCAAATTATTTTTCATATATGTCTTAGAATATATATTCAGGCACTTTGCAGAATATTGTTTTAAAACCAAATTAATTATATTTTCCTCCTTTAAATCTCTCAGCATCTTGACGGGTGAAGTTATTTCTTATTGTTCTTACTTCGTTATCACAGTTGTTCACACTGATTTTTGAAGAATTATGAGCTGTATGTATGATCATGTGTCACCCTTGCTAGTCCATGTTAGAGAAAGCAGAAGTAAATGTTACTGCATCTGGGGTCTGCAACAATTTTTCCTTTTGACATCGACTTACTTTTACACATTTTTCAGGAAGCAGAAATTTAATGAGTACCATGTTATACTCCAAAAATCTCTTTTAGACCAGATGACATTCCCTATATTAGAAACAAAAAAAGTGTTTGAATATGATGTCTAACAGGGAGCAATCCCAAACCAATACCATTTTAAGGTTTCAAAACATAACAAGTCTAGATTAAATCATGTTTTGTAGAGAAGTGCTTATGCATCTGGCAGTCGAATTTTGTCTTAAATAAGCAATGTTAGAAATAAAGAAGGAATGGTTTTAAGAGATTAACAGTGTAAGAGAGTTCATATTCATCTTATAAAAGAATGTGTTTTCTTTATTTTTATTAGGATTTTTTCTTAGATACTAAAGTAATGCATACATGAATTTTGAAGGCGTATGAAACTGGAGCCTGAGCAGAGCCTTAAAGAGCTACCAAACCCATCCTGTTTTCAAATTCAGCTCTGTTTCATGTCACAGAACAAAGTTTCTAATAGAGGCACAGTGACTGACCAGCAATTGCAATTTCCTATGTCATTATTTTGAAGTGTAAGACTTTAAATATATTTTTTTTTGTCTTTTATTAACCAGTTAATTTAGGTGATGGAATAGAATACAGCCAGCAGAAGCGTGAAAATATTGGAGTTCTCATTCAAGAGACACTGGAAGCCTTTGAACGCTACGGTGGAGAAAATGCTTATATAAACATTAAATACATGGTTCCCACTTATTGGTCGTGCCTTTAAACTGAATTATATTAAACGGGATGATTCCATCTGTGTACTAAAAAAACTGTATCTGACTCTGTATGGCATCTTGTTAGTCATGCTTTATTTTATCTACAGCTGCTAAAATAGTGGCTTCTGGGGCATTAGAGTGTTAGCACTATTGTGAACAAGGCTTTCCAATACATAAATAGTGTCTGTTCCTTTGATTACAATGGTGTACTGTGCTTGTTTGTTCCCTGAAAGAATCACTCCTTTATAACAGAGCTGACTCGAGCAGGAATCTGAGTTAAACCTTCACTTGTATAGACAATAAAACTATAATTTTCATACGCGATTCAGCAATTGCTGTTCTGTGTCCGCTTGCCCTGAGGGTGATGTCAGATGCTGTAACAAGAAGAGTTTATGCTGACTGCTTAATAGGTGTTTGTCATGGAAGAGAAACACCAGTTCAGCAATGCCTCTCTAGCAGCTGTGCCGAATAATGTGCACTGACATACAATAAAACTGTTGAATGTATATAACAACTACAGCAGGAAAATTTATATCATCCGTTATAAAGCACTGTCATTAAATTAATCCAGATTTCTTACACGCTCCTATTCTCGGCTTGCAGGTGCTTACCTTTCATGGAACTTAGGTTCCTCTTGGTGAACAAAAGGCACAACCACAATTTTGAAGAAAAGAAGCCCAGAAAAAACTTTAATAAACCAGATGGAATAGAGTACATAAAATATTAGTCCCTAGTGACACTTAATCTGGGTAAACACAGAATATACACATACATTTTTAAAGGGCATTGGATATTTTTTGTAATTGCAAGGTTGCTATTGCTTTTCTGTTATTATTATGGTATGTACGTGTGCTAACAATGTAACTATTGTTGCAGGAATCCCTTACAATTTCCTGCTCAGATAGTTTCTCCCTGCATACCCATAACACAGAACTGATATAATCATGGATTTAAGCAAGGCTGTTGAGATTGACTTTAGTGCTTTTTAAGCATTTCTATGGGATAAACCTACAAAAAATAAAACAAGACTTACAATTCTCAAGGACAACCATTTAAAATTATCGAGTCAGCTCAAAAAAAATCAGAGATACGAGCTTTGCCTAAAAAGCGAGAGATTTTTGAAAGTACAGGTTTTGGGCTCATTTTGCTTTTATTCTGGTTTCTGGAAGCTGTTAAAATATATGCAAGTTGCACTTTCAAGTGTTTCTCTGTAACTGTTAGAGCCTGAAATGCACTCTTTGGTGTTAGACACATGAGATTTTTCAAGTGTTTATCCATATTCACACCTTACTAGGCTTGCCCGAGTGAGAGACATAGCCCCTACGCTGCCCTGCTCTCTTGGATGCCTACTGGAAGCGTGGGGAGCACCTTCCCACCTGCTGAAACTTTGAGCCATATCTGTTGTTAGACTGACATTAAAATTGCCTTTTTCTGTTCTGTGGCATCTTCAGACTGAGGATTTTTTTTTACTTTCTTCTCTTTCCTGAAATTGAAAAAAAGTGAAGAAGGTTTTTACTCTTGCCACCTTTTTGAGGAACTGCAGCATCAAGTGATGACACCAGACACAAGCACTCATCACCCCCATGGCTGCTGGAGGTGTGCCTTTTTCCCAGGCTCCAGAGACATTTCTTTTGATTTTGGTTCTTTCTGAATTTTGTTTTACACAGTTTTGCCAGGGCTTCCCTCAAATCCCTAGAGTTTAAACAATGTCTATCCTGTGTCCAACATACACCTGTGATGGATAAGGACGTTCAAAATGCTGCCTCATGTCTAGGGTATCTGTAAATCTTTCACCTTCCAGACAGAAAGGAAGGTGAAGCTTAGCTCTAGGCCCATGTTTATGGCAATTCAAGAGCTTTGTCTTCAAACCTTGCAGCACAGAGGCTAGCAGAATACTGCAAGGGGGCGAGGCCACATCTTCCAAAAATGCATTTCTACTAGCCACTCTGGAACTATCAGTACAGCTTTTGCTTGCAGTTTCTCCCTGTTTGTCTTGCATTGTCCCTGGCACCAGTGAGCCATACTTTTTCATTTACTGGCATCTGTGGGTTTGATTACTGTGGCATTGCAGGTTTCCTGTGAGTACAGAGTGTGCTGGAGGACTGCAGCTCAGAGGGAGTTTGAGTTATTCAGCTCGGAAACAAACCAAGCCCTTCATGAAAGGAAAAATCCCAGACTAGCTTTCACTCCTCAGCTATTCGTATTCTTTCCTTAAAGAAAGTCCAGTACTGGTCTGTGCCTGAGATCAAAAAGCTCCTCAATAGCTGGCTTCAGCTCCCCTGCCGCTGGGCTTCAGCCACAGAGCTACTCACAGTGCGGGAAAGGGCTCTCATCCCTGTGTTTTCCCCATCCCATCACCCGTCTGCATTCCCAACAGCACTGCTGAGGATGAGATGAAGTTGCAGGCTCCTCACCAGCTTTGTAGCTCTGTTCCCTGCTGATGAAGACACACCATGGAAAATGGATACTTGGTGAAGCTGCAGACTTGCCCAGACCTGATCGCCTCAGCCTTGTGCTCTTTCTTTCACAAGTCGTTGGTTCAACAAGGTATGACCTTATGGCAAACCATAAGGGCAATAGAGGTCATGCCCATTCACATCAGGAAAAATAGGTTTTACAGTAAAGTGCTTTTATTTGCATGTTCAAGATGGGAACATTAACCTCTATCATACTATTTCTATGCCTGGTCCATTGCTTTAAAAGTGAACATTCTCCCATAACCTTATTAATTCTAGGAGGTGGACTGATAAAAAGAAGCATGAGAAAAAACACAGGTTGGTAATTTAGGAACACTGAGAATAAAACTATTTTAAGTTGTCACTTTACTAAGTCAGTCTGTAGGCCTTCCAACCTTGACAGTGTCCCTGTAAGCATGATCAGCAGCATATTTATAGGCAATTACAGCACAACTCAGAGCACTTTATAAAGCACAAGATCAAGGACTCAGGTGCTTAAGCATATGAGTAATACTATGTCATTCAATACACTGCTTAGCTATTTTACTATGCTCAAAAAATGGAATTATGATTAAAAAATAGGAACTGCCTCTTCTTTTACCAGATTGTGTAGTTGTGGTCACTGACACTAGGAGCAAGCCAATCAACAGTTTCTAGCTGTAATCAATTAGGAGGCACTCTGGGCCAAGTTTCAAGCAGTATAAATTAAGTGTAGTGGCATTGAGGCTAACTTGGTGTTACAGAAGTAATGTGGTTTGTGCCTTACTCTGAGGTCTTCTGCTGTTTTCTAGCTCTCCAGCGATTGCAAGGTAAAGAGCAGAAGTGAATAAATGTGTGGACAGTTAAGTAAGTTGTCAGTGCTGGTTTTCTGAAACTAAATGTTTGAGATGTCTCCAGTTTATCTTGATAGACACGTTAGATAGGTTGGCTGGTAGCTGTTTAGCTTGAAGAATGAAAAACATATGGTAACAGTAGGGAGGAATAGTCTACCTGTGACTGCCTTTGTCTTGCATGATCATCAAAACAGGAATAAAATAAAATCTTTTGGATGATTCTTCCCCAAAGCTGTGTAAGGGAACTCTGTAACAGGTGTCAGAGTTCAGGGAACTCTGGCACTCCGTAAATGCTGGCAGGTGCTATAAAGCAGTCACTGTACAAGCTATTGAGCCACTGAATGCTACAACTTGCCCATGTGAAGGGGTAGGGGTGGCAGTGGCTCCTGCCCAGCTTGGGCTGGGGCTGCTAAGGCTCCTGCAGAGGGGCAGAGCCTGGCAGAGGACAGGGCAAGCTGCTGCCAGCACTGGTGGCAGGGAGCCGGAGCCAGGCTTCTCGCTGGTAGCTTTCCAGTGTTTCAAAGAGATGGAGCTGCCAAAAAAGTTTGAAAAGGGCCTCCCAGGAGTCAAATACAAAAGGGCTATGGGAAGCTGTAAGTGGGAGGGAAGGTATGGGACCCTAGCTGGGAGGGTGTTTGTGTGGGGGGTGCAGGAGGTGTAGTTGCAGCCAAGCAGGGCAAAAATAAAAAGTTAGAGCAGACACTATGTGCTTTCCTAATCCTGTCTGGAGACCCTCTGACTTCCAGAAAAGCATTGTCCCGTCTGAGGGGCTCTGCAGGCAGTGGGGCACATCACATTTTTCCACTCATCTGTAACATCCTGTGTTTTCTGCCTTAAATAAAAGCAGTGATGTTTGTGGGAACTCCATATAAAGCCTGTCTGCTTGCAGCCTCTCAGAGCTGCTTTGTGCCTCCTGGAGACTGGGAGAGGAAGGTTTATGCCCTGGCAGGACAAGAAGTTCCCTACACTGGCCCCATAATCCTTCCGGCATGAGAGGGGAGGGAAGGGGACTGTGTGTGGTGGGGCATATCTTAGCTGTTCTTGTTCTTGCCTAGCAATTCTAGCCTGGGTATGTCTGTGGGGCTCCTTGCTGAGAGCTCTCCTCTCCTTGGGACAGTGCGTGATGTCTTCTGGTGAGGTGGGTGGAAGCCTGCCTGAGCTGAGGCAGCAAACTACAGCCTCAGGGAGGAAAGAGTATGTTTCTTGGGAAGCTAGGAGTCAGCTTTGTGCTTTGTGTCCCATTTGTGATGCCACAAATACTTTTATTTGTTACCAACACTCAGGAGTGAGTTAAGCAGCTCGCATGAACCACTAGCTCATAAGCTCCATGGTAAGGGGCTGTGGGTGCAGCAGGGTCAGCCTGCCCAGTGTGGGTGACAGTACTGCTCCCCTCTCTGGGTTTCCCCTTTAGCAGCAGGAGCACCTGATCTTGGCCACCTTGCTGTGGCACGCACCAGCCGGCTGTGTGCCCAGAGTCCCCTTCCTACAGTGGAGAGGAGGAGCCTGCTTGGACTTTTTGCTAACAGAGCTGCTGACAGAGCCCCTCACATAGAAAGAAAGCCTTAAGCTGAAGAAGAATGGGCACCTTTGTGGAGGAGAAAGCTCAAGGCACAGCCATTAGCGTGGCCAGGAGCATTTTTGGTACTGTACCCTCTCTGCTGCTGCTGTGGGTGTCCGTGTACACAGGAGCCCTCTGCATTTGCTATGGGCTGCTGACCCTAGCTGCTGGGGGCATGGGGTGAGAGGGGGTGAAATGGGAACTAATCCTGTTCTTTTCAAATGCTGAAAAGAGAAGTTAAATCCCAGCCTGCTTACTCTGCCTTGGTGAGGGTAGGTTAATGCATTGAGGTAATGGGAAGAAAGAGAGCACCTAAATAGAGTATCATAGCATTTGGTTGCCTGTCTCAAGAAAAGAGTGTGAAACACCCTTAGTTTATTAAATGATCTCAGCAATCCAAACATCCTGTGTTCATCTGCATCAGCATAATGTTTTTTGAAAAAAAAGATCGGACATTAAGGCTGTTGGAG